CTGGGACCGAGCCTTATGTCAGGCTCTCTGCTCAGCGGGAGCCTGCTTCTTCCTCTACCTGCTGCTCCCGTTGCATGTACTCTCTCTCTCTCTGTGAAATAAATAAAATCTTTTTTTTTAAATGGGCAAAATATTTAGACAGATACCTCACCAAAGAAGACATACACATGACAATGAGCATATGAAAGGATGCTTAGTATCATGTTTTTAAGGAATTAAAAACTAAACAATGAGATATCACTACACCTATTTAGAATGGCTTAAATTTAAAAATCTAACAATACTAAATGTTGGCAAGATTCAGAACAACAGGGGCTCTCATTCATTGCTGGTGGATATTCAAAGTGGTACAGGCGCTTTGGAAGACAGTTTGGCAGTTTCTTACAAAGCTATACATAAGGTTACATGATCTAGCAGTTCTACTCCTAGGTATTTTTCCAACTGAGTAGAAAACATATCCACACAAAAACCTGCATACAAATGTTTATAGCAGAATTATTCATAATCAGGAGCGCCTGGGTGGCTCAGTCATTAAGCATCTGCCTTCAGCTCAGGTCATGATCTCAGGGTCCTGGGATAGAGCCCTGCGTCAGACTCCCTGCTCAGCTGGAGGCCTGCTTCTCCCTTCCCCACTCCCCCTGCTTGTGTTCCCTCTCTTGCTGTCTTTCTCTGTCAAATAAATAAATAAAATCTTAAAAAAAATTATTCTTAATCACCCAAAACTGAAAGCAAATAAGATGGCTTTAAATAGATGAATGGATAAACTGGTACATCAGTTTCAATATTATACAACAATAAAAAATAGGGATCTATTTTGCCACTAAAAGACAAAGAAAAGCCTTAAATGCATATTGCTAAGTGAAGGATGCTAATCTGAACAGGAACATACTATATGATTCCAATTATGACATTCTGGAAAACGGCAAAACTGTGGAAATGTTAAAAAGACCAGTGGTTAACAGGGCTTCATCTGAAGGAGGGAAGGGATGAACAGATGAAGCAGGTGGTTTTTAGGCTGGTGAACTATTCTATATAATACTGTAATGGCAAATACATGTCATCATCCATCTGTCAAAACCCATGGAACTAATTGTATAATACAAAGAGTGAGCTTTAACCTAAACTGTGGACTTTAGTTAATAATGTATCAGTATTTGTCAATTGTAACAAATGTGCCACACTAATGCAAAATGTTAATAATAGGGGAAACTGTCAAGATCGGAGGTAATATATGGGAATTCTGTGTGTTATCTTCTCTTTTAATAAATTCTTAGATGAATGAATGTTAAAGATGTTTAAATCATGCATGGACAAAAACCTTTTACAGGGTATAACAAAGTAACTTTAAAAGTCAAAAAGGTAGGGGAAAAACCCTATAGTAAATATCTAATCAGTGATTAAAAAGTGACAGTTTTTTCTCTGAAATGGCAATGAGAAAAAGCTGTCTTTCCTTAGCATTATTGGCCCTAGAGGAGATCATAGCCACTTCAATAAGGCAAGACAAAGAAAAGTATTGGAAAGGAAGAAAATCAAATGAATTGATTCTGTATGTAGACAGTCATTAGAATTGGGGCACCTAGGTGGCTCAGTAGTTTAAGCCTCTGCCTTAGGCTCAGGTCATGATCCCAGGGTTCTGGGACTGACCCTGTGTCAGGCTCCCTGCTCAATGGAGAGCCTGCTTCTCACTCACCCTCTGCCCTTCCCTCCCCACCCCCACTCATGCTTGTGTGCACGCTCTCTTTCTCTCTCTCGCTATCTCAAATAAATTAATTAAATCTTTAAAAAATCATTAGAATTTATTAATGAATTTGGAAATGTTGCTGGATACAAGCTAAATATTTGGAAATGTATATGCATATTTGCGCATATATATATTAACAATTAGAAAATGACATTGAAGGGACACCTGACTAGTTCAGTGGGTGGAACATGTGACTCTTGATCTTGGGGTCATGAGTTCAAGCCCCACTTTGGGCATAGAGCTTAAAAAAAAAAAAAACAGAAAATGACATTTTTAAATTCCATTTTAATAGAAACACATCAAATAACCAGTGAGGGGGAATCTAAAGATGAACAGAGTGTCAATGTGGAAAACTACAAAAATTACTATGAGAAAGACATCCGAAATAAATAATGAAATATATCATGTTTCTGGATTGGAAGACTTAATATTGTAAAGATTTCAATTCTCCCCAAAGTTTCTATAACTGCGATGTAATCCCAGTAAAAATTTCATAAAGTTCTTGTGAAAATTGACATGTTGCTTCTAAAATATAAGTGGAAATTCTAAGAACAAAGAATAGCCAAGGTAATCTTGAAGAACAAAGTTGAAGGACTTAACATTACCAGACCTCAAGACTTACAAAGCTTCATAATTAAAACAGTCTCATTGGCACAAAGGTAGAGAAACAGACCAGGGGAATAGAATACAAAGTCCAGAAGTACATCCACTCCTCTATACCCCTATATATCTTTGTTGATAACCAAGTTGCCTTTGCAGTGCTTTCCTAATGAAGGGTGAAGTTATCACATTTGAGGTAGGAAGCAATTTCCAGGAAAAAAAAAAAAAAGATGCTTTGGAAAGGCCAGAACTCAATTTACCATGGCTCTAACTCCTCTAGGTATCTCTGTTTCTATTGCCAGTGTCCCAGGCTATGTCATTCAAGGCATTTATTTTATTCACTGAAACATGATTCAGGAATTTGGCTTAGGCTGCATTTGGCAGTTTGGAGTTCTATCATGCCTATTTAACTTGTGCAAATTCACCTACATTTATGGGGTGATGGGAAGAGGGAAAATAAGGTAAACACTAAAGGCAATCTACTTTTTCATTAAGTAACCATAAAATTTTGGTAGGAAGCACAAGAGGAGTAATGTGAACTTTTGTTCCAGCTGTTGGTTCTCATGTGTGTCTGGATGTGTGAGCATTTTGCTTCAGTTACTGTGATTCTAGCATTCAAAGATAGGTGTTTTCCATACAGCATGCTCACTAAGCACAATTACTTCATCTGCTCTTCAGTTGAAAAAATAGCATCTAGTCCAGTCCTGAGGGAAAAACAGCTGTGTTAAACTTTCTAAGGCTGTTATGTGTAGTGGTCATAGGCTTGGGCTCTCAAGCCAGACTACCTGGGTTCAAATCCTAGCTCTGTTCTTACTATCTGTATGACCTGGGCAGGTTACTTAACCTTTCTTTTTTTTTTTTTTTTTTTAGTTTCAGATGTAGTTTTAACAATTCATCAGTTGTGTATGAAACCCAGTGCTCATCACATCATGTGCCCTCCTTAATGCCCATCACCCAGTGACCACCTAACTTTTGTGCTCCATGTCATTCTCCAAAAAACAGCTAATAATAGCATCTCGTAACAGTGTCGAAATGATTAAATGACTAACATAAACTGTGGCTAGCACATAGTAAATACATAATCAAAGTTAGCTGTCTTTATTAACATCAGGGCAATTGTTCTTACCAAGAGGTGATAGAATGTGGTCTCCAAGGTGGTACAGTCTTAAGGGATTCTCAAGGGAAACTTAGCTAACTCCTTTTTCACCTAGACTCGTACTTTAGAACCCAACCCCAGCATGAAATATTCTACCATACTCATTTCTCTATCTGGTCCTTAGTCTTTTAGGGAGCTAGTTATTAGTTGTGGCTCATTGTGGAATGGTCATATGGCACAGAACATGAATGTTTGAGGCAGAAAGGCCTGTGGGTGGGGCAAGATGTATTTCCATAGAGGCAATGTAAGTGTTTGCAGACACCCTGAAATATGTTTAGCATATACTTTAGTGCATATTTTCAGCCACCAGCATTTTCCTATATACAAAGTTCCATTCAATCTTTTAAGGTCAGTGTAGCCCTTATGCTTCTATCCTTTGCTTTTAACTAGAAAATGATTGGAGCCTATACTGTAGAATGGTATCTATAGCACCACTAGCGCCGTGGTGCTGCTTGTGTATGCATTATTGTAGGGTATTGCTCTGGTGTTTTATGGATCTCCTATCCTTCCCTGAGCCTATGGATTTTCAACTGACCACTGATTGTTATCTCTGGAGAATTTTGAAGAACTTGATAGGTGGCTGTTCACCATCTTACCTTCTCCCCCTTCTACACAGAGATGGAAACTCTCATGTTTATCTCCTAGGACTATGAGAATTGAGATCCTGTTGTCCCTGACCTCATCCTCATTCACCTTTCTACTCTCAGAAAAGCTGCTCTTTGTTTGCAGCTCTTACTGCACAGCACTGAGACACACGCAGCTATTTGCCAGTCTGCTGTCATCAGCAACTCATGTCCACTGCCCATGTTGGGACCTCACTCAGACCCCTGCCATCCTGACAGCTACTGCTTCCTCTAAGGGCACTACTGATGTCAACTAGGTTTTTGTTTATGGCTCTGCTTTTCTTTTTCCCCATCTTTCCCATCTTCTGTGGTTCTTGGCTTTTGCTCAGGAAAAACTGGTCACTGTAGAACTTGCCAATGAATGGGCTCCATCTTTCTGCCCTGTGAACAAATCAAAGCCAAATGGGTTTTATCACTGAGTCTTTCTTGACTGTGTTATTTGAGGCTCAGGCATCTGAGCCTATTTGGTACATCTATTACAAGAAGAGGAGTTTGTAGTGTATGTTAGGGACATGAGAATTAGAAGGATTTAGCTCTCCCCAGGCTTAATGTCTAGGAGATTAGAGAATTGCTTTTTGAATAGGACAAGTTATGATCTACTGTCCCATGTCCATGTCATAGAACAAGGGACATAAAAGTTTAATGGGTTCTGTTTTAAGGGGATTTGTATAGTGAGTCTCAAACAGCTTTGGAACATGTGAGCCTTTGATATTTCACAGTAGTGATGCAGAATTATAGTGAGCTTGTGTATTGCAAATTGAGGAATCTTGAAAAAACTTATGATATATCCAGATGGCGCATTAGATTTTATCTTTCAAGTGGTAAATATTCTAAAATGTTAATACCATCTCATTTTTTTGTTTTTCCCCTTTCTTCCTAGAATATTTTCCTTCTTGGATATAGTAACTTTGTGCCGATGTGCACAGATTTCCAAGGTAGAGTATTAACCAGATTTTTATCAATCAATAAATATTGAGTTTTATTAGAATGAGAATGAATTTTAGTTTTAGTTCAAGCAAGCAGTTAACTTTTTTAATTTAATTTTTTAAGAAAACGTGCGTGCGTAAGTGGGGAGAGGGGCAACGGGAGAGGGAGAGGGGTGAGACTCTTAAGCAGGCTCCATACCTAGCGCAGAGCCAACTCGGGGCTCAATCCCAGGATCCCAAGATCATGACCTGAGCCAAGATCAAGAGTTGGATGCTTAGCCAACTGAGCCACCCAAGCGCCCCAAGCAGTTAACTTTAAATGTCATCTTTTATATTTAATATAACACAGTGTTATCATAATTCCATATTTGATTATCCACTTAATGTATATCAAGAATAAAAGTTTGGAAATACAAAGGTTGAATCAGGACTTCCATTAACAGTCTCACTTAGTGTATCTCTTTCACCCCCATCTCTCCTCTACCTCCCATCCCCTAGGCCTGGAACATCCTAGCCCTGGATGGAAGCAACTGGCAAAGAATAGACCTTTTTAACTTTCAAACAGATGTAGAGGTAAGTTAGCTTTATTTTAGATAAATGACTTTTTTTTTCTTTTAAAGATTTTATGTATTTATTTGACAGAGAGAGATACAGTGAGAGAGGGAACATGAGTAGAGGGCGGTGGGAGAGGGAGAAGCAGGCTCCCTGCGTGGGGCTCATGACCTGAGCCGAAGGCAGACATTTAACCACCTGAGCCACCCAGGCGCCCCTAGATAAGAGACTTTTTAAAAAGATAAGTAAACTGGTCACTCTTTCCTGCCCTTTTCTTTTGCTGCATTTAGATTTAATATTAAGATGTCAAGGTGTAATAAAGAAGAAAAAAAGGTATCTATGTACATCAAGACCAAAATTCTGCTTGTATTTTGCTTTGGCTCTGTATCAGTAGCAAAGTACTTTTCCTCCTTGTTCATGTCTATAACCTTGGTATTACCACTCAGCTTTTTAAAGCCCTATACCTGCATCATTAACACCCAGTTCAGTGCTTTAATCTTAGGAGACTCCTGACAAATATTTATTGATCTGAAAGATCCACTGAGAATTCTAATTCAGCATCAAGAATGGAGAAATGGCAGAAACATGGGTTCAGGAGTGAAGCTGGAGACCTGAGATATCACTGCAGCTCAGTCACTTAAGCTGTATAATCTCTTAGTGCTTCAGTTTTATTATCTATAAAATAAAGAAGCAAAATAATCCTTAAAACCTTTTATAATTCTAGGATTCTCATGTATTTATCTGGATATATGTGAATATCCCCATGTAAGAGTGGTAAGCCTGACCAAATGAGAAAAGCTTATTTTAAAACAATTTTTAGATTAAATACAATTTATAACCAAAAAGAAAGAAGGAAGTAATATTCACTGCACATAATAATTATCTAGACTACTCTTTTAAGGATTGTGAAGTTTATCTATGCAATGTTGGGAAAACCTTATTCATTTCTAGTTTAGCTAATTCAGTTGTAGTCATGGAGTTGTATTTTAATTCAGTTCCTCATATAGCATTTTCATCAAGTGTTTTTGCCAAAGTTTATGTTTTGTATCTTTTTTAATGGATAAGGAAATAATCATGCTTAACAGTGAGATGAGCCCACACAATTTCCTGTGAGTTACCGAACCTGGTGTTCCCTAGAAGAGCTAACAGTCAGTTGTGGCGGCCCTTCCCCTACTTCTCTAGGTTACCAGATGGAGAGACTCTGATCCCATCCCAGACAGGTGGAGCAGAGCACCTGCAGCAGGTGGGGCCACGCACAGGGTTCCCCACTGTGGGTTTCCTTGCATGTTGTGGTGTTCTGAGTTTGGAAGGGTCGGGCACCTCAGAGCTTCACGCCCAGCCTGGAAAGATAAGCTCTCAGTTGCTGTTTTGGACTGTGGTCCCTGGATTAGGAGTTCTTTAATGCCCTTTCCAGACTTAATAGCAGTGATTGTAGCAATGTCCACCCAAACATGCTGACATGTGATTCCTCTTCAAACTGATAATCTCTAGATCTTTGTTCATTGTGTTTACTTAGTGATGTTGAGAAACACATTAAATTCCAAAAATTGTAGTCATTTCTGCTCACCAAAGGAGAGTCATTGTTTTTAAAAATTTTTGCAAATTATTTTTCTTTTTTTGTGGCTCTTATTGTCCCCTCAGTTTTCTTTGACGATTTTTCCAAACTATACAACTTTTTGAAAGGCATATTTAAAACTTTTAGATTCAGATTTTTAAAAATACTGTTTCAAGTAAATAGCACTACCTTGTGCATTATTTGATTTCAGAATTTTAGCTGATGAATGACTGCAGCTATATAAACACATTGTAGAAATTCTTAAGAGTACTTCCACTAAAGTAAAGACTAGTTTATGGGTCACCAGTTATGTAAAGAATTACATATGAAAATTTTTTCTTTTTTTTTTTAAGATTTTATTTATTTGAGAGAGAGTGAGAGCAAGAGAGAGAGAGAGAGCACGAGGGGGGTGAAGGGCAGAGGGAGAAGCAGACTCCCTGCAGATTAGGGAGCCCGATATGGGACTCGATCCCAGGACCCCGGGATCATGACCTGAGCCGAGGGCAGATGCTTAACCACCTGAGCCCCCCAGGTGCCCCTACATGTGAAAACTTAAAATAGCTTTCACCATATTAGTATTAGTCTAGTCTAATACTATTTAGTTGCCCTTTTGGGGCTAACAACTCGAATCCAGATTGCATTATGAACCAAGTGTTGGAGCCCCTTGTGTTGTCTAAATAGGACCTATTGGATACTCACCCTGGGAAGCATTCCATGGATGAACTGACCATCTCAAATTATTCCTTTGGGATGAAAATGATAATTTATGGATATGCTGAGAGAGGAGAGAATGTACCAAGGTTCAGGATTAATAGACTAACAGTGTTTACTATGTGCCTGATACTATTTAAGTAACTTACATATATTCATTTAATCTTCTCAAAAACACTATATTGAAGAAACTGAGGCACAAAAAGTTTGAGTAACTTATCCAAGGTCATTCATCTAGTAAGCGGAGACAGTAGGTACCCTGAACACAATGGGTTATGTGACTGTTGTATTTCAGAGAAAAGGTAGAATAAAGCAGCCAGATGACAAGAGTACATTGTGCCTTTCCTTGAGCATCACTCTTTCCTGAATAAGTGTTGTTACCCTGATGTTTAGGCATTCTCCATGCCTTTAAAAGTTGGGCATTTTTGTCAATGTCTTCATGGTTAATAAAGATTCCTCCAGGCCAAAAATAAGAAATAACCAAATAGCATGTTAATCTAAAAGTTAGAACTCCAAAGGTCTCTCCATTTAGGCCTTATTTTTCTCTAAAGCCTTTCATTCCAAAATCCACACCTACAACATACTAAGTGGATAATATACAGTCATTGACTTGAATTTTGCATTTGGAAACGATTTGCTCATTTTTTCTCTCAGTTGGAAACAGTGGAACAGAAAATTCTGAATGTAATTTTTTTTAATCTGAGTACAAAAACTTTTACTCCAAAGAAAGGAAGAATAGGAAGCTTATATAAATGTGACTAACTTGAAATGGAGAAATATATCTTGTGTGCTCTATTTGTAGACGTTGATATGGAGGGGTTTTCACTGTTTTATTCTGTACTTGGACTTCCAAGTCATAATCTTTTTTTCCCCTTTAGTGACAGAGATTTATTAACTTAGGGAATACTCAAGAAAGCATAAATAAAGCTACTAGCAATATCAGAGTATAGATTTTCATCTTAAGATGTTAGCCAGGTAACAGTACGTGTGAGCCCTGCTCCTGTGATTCTGTGGTTTGATGTGTCCTAGTGAATTCTTAGTGCTCACAGTTCAGTGTCAAGGGTGCTATTTTATGAAGTGAGGATAATAGCATTTTATTTATTTTATTTATTTTATTTTATTTTTAAAGATTTTATTTATTTATTTGACAGAGAGACAGAGAGAGCAGGAACACAAGCAGGGGAGTGGGAGAGGGAGAAGCAGGCTTCCCTGCTTCGGGCTGAGCAGGGAGCCCGATGCAGGGCTCGGTCCCAGGACCCCGGCATCATGACCTGAGCTGAAGGCAGCCGCCTAATGACTGAGCCACCCAGGTGCCCCAAAACTGCCTTATTTACTTTAAAAAGAAAAAGAAAAGGTATAGGGTGATTGAGCCACCCAGGCGCCCCAATAGCATTTTTTTAAAGACCCAAACGGCCCCCTTTCAGTATTTCCTCCCTTGTGGGGGCAGTGATTGTGCAGCCTTTAGAATCAAATAAATCTCTTAGAACCCTAACTCTACTCCTCACTAAAGTGTAACCGTTGCAATTTAACCATTTAATTTCTTTATTTGCAAAATGAAGGTATGAATCCAGTCTGTTAATAGTCAGGATTCTCCAGAGAAACAATAGGGTATGTATGTATACAAATATATGGATTTATTATAAGGAATTGGGTCATGTGATTATGAAGACTGAGAAGTCCTAAGATCTGCAGTCGGGAAGCTGGAGACCCAGGAGAGCTGATATGTAGTTCAGTCTAACCTGGGAACCAGCAGAGCCCACGGGGTAAATTCCAGTCTGAAAGCTGACAGGGTCCAGACCTAAGACGAGCTGATGTTTTTCAGCCCCAGTCCTAAGGCTGGAAAGGACCAGTGTCTCAGCTCAAGCAGTCAGGCAGGGCAAGTTCCCTCTTACTCAGCCTTTTTCATTCTATTCAGGTCTGCTATTGCTACTTTACTCTCTCCACTGATTCAAATGGTAATCTTATCCAGAAATACCCTCACAGACTCCTACAGAATACTGTTGGGCCAAATGTTTGCACACCCTGTGGCCCAGTCAAGTTGACACATAAGATTAATTATCAAAAGTCACCCCTTGTCAACTTGGCACCCATATGCATCACCTTAAGCCATACTTAATCTCCAAATAAAAACAATGACAAAGTCGTAATTCGACCTAATGTGATACAAGTATCTAGTGCACAACCAAAAACACACTAACTCCTTCCTCAAAAGAAGAGATAAAGTCCTTGAGTGGTGTTCACTTTTCTTGATATCCTGTATCTTAAATACTATGATATAGAATTAACAATACTTAAATACCATGATATGGTGTCAGCACATCTTATTTTACATAAGGGAACAGAAGAGGAAAGAAAACAAATATATTGGCTTTACACACACACATACTCTAACAAAATAAGGAGAGACATTTATGACAATTACAGTTTTCACTTCTGTAATTGGTTGCATGTTGGTAGTTGATACTTTTTAACTACCTTCTACTACCCATTCTGTGTTCCCTTTATCTTCAGTAAGCACCTCAGCTGGTCATGGTTCTTTACCTGGTAGAGTAACCCAAACCGTTATTCCTGAAGTGTATGGGCCATTGGAAGTCGTGCCTGGATTGACTTGTAGTTTTCCATTGACTTAAGTCACAGGGCATGGTAATGTTAAGAGAGATGACCTGAGAGGTTTGTATTCCAGACATACTCTTCATTGTCTCCATTGTGGAGTAGTAGACCGTGAGGTTGTTGTGAATAGTAAATGAGCCATAATAAGTACAAGAAAGTGTTAAAATCGTGCCTGAAAAAGTGAAAGTGCTTAATCAGTGTTCATTTTTTTCCCTTTAATGAATCTGCCAGTATCTAGCCCAAGTTCCTATTTCAAAGCAAATGTGTTTCAAAAGGGGATTGCTAAGGAGGATGAGAGGGAGCTTTTATGATACATTTTCAAACTTTAGAGTGGTAATGTTGAGCTAAAATAGAATTTCTTTCTTTCTTTCT